TTATTCCTTTGCGCACCAAGCCATTCGTGCATTTATGAAATTCCAATGTTGCAAGGACAATATCAATTCTGCTTACTGTTTATTAAAGGGTTACGGTTAGGGTTAGGGTCCGTTGATCGGCGGATAGAGGCGGTTTCACGCAGTTTAAGTACAGTTTTTTGTTTTACGCCGGTTTTTCCCGAAGTCGCTAAAGTATGACGTCACAACATTCTGATTGGTCACTTGCAATGTTGATCCTGGAACAACATTTAGTATGATGATCTGGGAACAACACCAACATGAGGATCAACCTGTAGCTACAGCCCAGCCCATGCAGCAGTATATGAATGACTAACCTCGTATTGTGGATGGATTATCTCAGTTGTTCTCCTGGCTGAACTTTGGTCCTTTTACAGCATCCTGCCATGCAATTACATTTGTTCCTGACCACCAAGAACACTCACGTTAACTTTTGAGTGGAGAAAAAAGTTAGCTTGTTTATATTATGCTAACATAGCTGTGTCGCTAGCGGTCACATAGCACATCAGCTAGCCAAACTTCATGTAACAAGTGTCACCTGGCAGTTTGTTGCTCTCTGCCAGGTGATTGGCTGAAGAGCTGTGAAAAGGTAGTGGGTGTGTGGGGGGAGGTCAGCGCTCTTCTGTGGAAAAAACCAGAGGCAATTAATTCACTCAGGTGCGAGTGGGTATACTGTCGTGTGACCACGAATTTTAATAGAAGAATTGATCAAGCCCTAGATTGACTGCGCGCAGGGAAACTGATCAATATTCTGTGCTGTCTCTGCTGTCCTTTTTTCGTTCTTTTGATTGATTTGTAATTTTGTTTTGGTTAGTCCGTCCAGCCGTAAAGGCGGTTATTGATTGAGAGTAAGTTGTGTAAGGGCGGACTAACCTCCCTTTTTGTTTTTTGTTTAATTGTTTGTGCCACTTCCCTTTATCTCCCAGATCGCAGGCCATGCATAGCACTGATTCCCAGCTGCGCTGAGACCCGAATTGTTTGCAGTGTGTGCCACGATTGCAGTGTCGCTAAGCGGGGTGTGACGGGTTGCAGTGTTGTTATTTTCGCACAGTTTGTGTGGTAAGTCTCATGTGCAGCTGGGATATCAGCAGGATGTGTTGTAAGTCCTGTCTGGAAATGACTGGGAATTTGTATGTCTAACTCATGTAATAAATAAATGATCAATTTATTTCTTTGCCCCGTTTACTCATCCCTTGTCCTCGGTTACATTCAGTAACCCTACAAATGTCACTGCTGTTTAGTTTTCTGTCTTATGTTGGAAGTGATAACAGAGCTGTACATTTTAATTTGTTTCCAAAACCCCGCAGTCAGGACATGCTATATTGTATTTAGATAGAAGCTAGCGAGCTAACTCCCTGCTAACTTCTAACTCCGTTAAATGTCATAAATTCCGTTTTCATGGATGCCTGGATGTTAAACTCAATTGTTACACCTGGTAGAGCAGAACGCTGATCATTTTATTAAAGATGAAAGACTTTAGACAGTTTTTCAACTCTCAGTAATGCCATAGTGATCGTTTGATATATGGACCTGCAACAGAGTTTAGGCCCAGACACAGCTAGTGACGTCAGACTTGACGACCGGATATGTACACCCGGATGGTGTTTCAGCTGCTGGCTGAATTCCAAAGATTCCCTCAAGAAATTGAATTCACAATATAGAATGTTGACCAGAGACAACCTCGCACCGAAGCTGGAAAATCGCTTATCAATTAATTCCAGAATGTCTGCAAATGTCTGCAGAGAAAATATGGTTTTGGTTGTGTTTTTTTTTGTAACTGACACTCAACACAGATGAGTGAAAGCAAGAGCTGCACATCAGCATCTTCATTAATCTCTCCTGACTTTTCCCCCTGTTTAAGAGCACAAAAGTTGGAGGCACTGCAATGTTTGGCTTGAGGACCATCCCTGACCTGTAAGAGAAATCCTCTTGTCAATCACCCTTGACTTGATGAGAAATAGCATGAAACCTGGCTTACGTCTTCGCACCCCAGTGAGAAATATTGTTCCAAAAGCACGAACAGCTCCATGTGGCGCAAAGATTTTAAGATATCAGGTCAAATAGGAGAGCCTGGGCAAAAAGACAGACTCACATTTTCCAGTCTGACCAGACAAATTGAAAATGGGATCAATAAAGGCTACCCAGAATCAGAAATGACTGATGCTATAATTTGTGCTATCACACCAGGCTTGCAGTTAAGGAGTTACCTAACTTATCTTCTCAGGTCTCATTACCAGGAGAAAAGTGCCACAGAGTTATAGAAACAACTCATCTCTGAGGTTCAGAGTAGTAGAGAGATGCCCAACAATTTCTTGATCAGGACAATGGACATGAGATAGAAAATCCTGCTTGCTTCTCAGGGGGTTGAATGTATGTATCTAAAATATGATCCCTTAGCTACTGCAAACAAATACTTCAGATGAATTGTTGCTAGAGAAGCTAAATATCCCAGTCACAAATGAAATGGAAATCCAGCTCCATCATGAGTAGCTACTGTATATACTGTCCAGTCTAATGATTCCCCAGTGGGAGAGAGAAGCATAGCCCAGAAAAGAGTTCCTCCTTCCCGCCGATCTTCTCAGAGATATAAAAGAAATACATGCTGACATGGTGCTGCTAAAAGATTTGAGGGCTGAAGTTACCCAAATCAAAAAAAACATTCAAACTCAACACCAGCATCTCAGCAGCCCGTTTTACCACCAGCACCCTTCTGCAGCAGCACAGAAATACCACCCAGGGCATAGACCTAGGCATGTGAAGGGAACAGCACAGTGGGACACAGGTTCACAACGTTGTGCTACAGATGAGATGTTTGCATGAAACAGAAGAGACAGACTTTTAATTCATTTGAAAGCCTGATGCTTCTGGACTTGTAACGTTGTGATTTCTACTTCATTAAGGACAGCCCCTTGAGATAGGCCATCTTGTTTTCAATGGGGTCCATATGGGAGTGAAAGTACAAAATATGCCAGCTAGGATATTAATATGAGCAAATAAGACACGAATCATTATTTGAACAGGGTGTAATGAGTTGTTTTCACATATTTTAGATTCTAATGTTAGGCTATAACCCCTACAGCTTACTATTCATTTTCCAGATATTTTCTTGAATGTGAAATATTATTTACAATTACAGTCAGCATAAGATTAGAGTGTATAATTATGTTTATTGATTTGAGGGTACATCCTTTGCTCATTATCACCAAAAGCTCATTTCCATCAAACTTGTAGGATCAACCAATCACGGCTTTATATGACATACTAGCAGGGAACCCTCTCACTAAGATAGGATTTTCCATCCATTCCTTGCTCAGAGTTCACTGAAAATGTTCTGGAATCACTTCTAAGCTAAAACTCCTGGCAAGGAATTTTTAGGTTAAGTTAGGAGCTCTCTGAGAGGATTCTCAGAATCTTTAGGGATATGGGCCCAGGAAACTCCAGGAAAACGTCACCACCTTAACAACAAGAAGCAAAGGTATAAGTGGGAATTAATATTAAACTCCTGTAAACTCGCTGTATGTAATTAAAGCCTCTTCCACATATGGAACACGTGGAAGATACACTTGGGGATAAAAAACACAAAGTAACATACATTAACATACAGCTACTGCTAATCAACCAGACAGTAGTTAATAGTAATATTGATCACTTTATTACCCAGTTGTCTTCACCCGATGTATAGTGTTCTTTTCCACATATGTGTAATATCAGAAACAGTTCCGTATTCTTTGTGGAACTCCTCCTTACTCCACCTGGTCCCGTCAGAATGGCAAAGAGTGAACTCACTCCCCTCAGTACGCTCTGGCCAGAAGCGTTCTTTGCCTATGGTAATTAAATCATCATAGGTTTCATGGCCTTGAAGAATGATTCGAGGTGGAGCTTCGTCCATTATTAACTTCTGGTACCGTCCACACTTTCTATGAGTTCTTGGCTTCCACTCCATGGGAGCCAGTCTGACCTAGTCAAGGAAAAAAGAAATTACCGAAAGGGCATGAAATAAATGAACAATCCCTTGTTAATTCTGTGTCCTTTCAGATCTTTCCACATGACGTTATGATCAAGATATAATATGCCTTTTTAGAAAGTTATTTTTTAATATATTGCTGATAGTCATACAGTAGCTTCACTTTTTAACTAACCTTCAATAATGATTTGCCATGGTCCAAACGTTTATCATTCAATGGAAACTGCCTTTTCTTTACTTGAGGCTGTAGTAGTTTCTTGGCTTTACCAAAGGCCTCTGCTGCACCTGTAATGGATGAAGCTGAAAGTTAATCAAACTGATCCACAGCGAGTTCTATATTACAAGTGATCTTAAAGCAAAATAATTGGGGTTTTCTTACTGAGAAATTCATTGCCATGTGTTGAAGTAGTGTCATCTGCAATATAAATAGGGCAGTGATGTGAAACATGTGGTTTATAGAATTCTACTACAATCACAGACTACTGCACAGTCATCTGCTTTCAAAATGTATTGCATCTATTAATAAAGTGGTTAGTCAATCATAACCTGCTAAGCATATCATGTTAAATAAAGGAGATTATTTTGCATGTTGTTCAAAAGTATCAAAACCTACCTGATTTTTCTGCTGTCAGGAGCTTTTTTATGTTGTTATCAAAGCCTTTTTGGGTAATCTCACCTTCAAATAAAATTTTAAAAGGGTATGTAGTTATAGATTGACTGTAGGAGACAGATCCTACATGACTATCTAACTTTTAAATTGCAATCTTTTAATTTTGTGAGAAATGTATCTTTTGTCATTTTTTTTTTTAAATCGGGCACTCCAACAATATCATAAAGTAATAACTATATACGTCTGTTAACATGCATATTAATTAAGAGAAGTAAATAGGAATACCATACAATGTTAAATAATTAAAGCACGATATTGTCAGGGTTCTTTGCAGTTAAAAAATGAACTTGCAAGCATTACAAAAACATTTAATAAAGTGTTTGATTACCATTTTCAAGGTCTTTTTTCAGCTGCTCGTAAGCTTTCAGCTTGTCCATTTGCTGAAATGTATACAAAACAATTACTGAACAGTTTAAATTTGAATCACGTTTCACCACTGTCGCTAGCTAGAATGAATTAGCCAGACAAAAATAGTACTGATTTGGTTTCGTACAAAACTGGCTTTCCGTCTCTGATATGTAACTTTCACAACATAACTGCAACTTAATATAACACAACTGTGGCAAAAATATGAACAAAAGGGAGAAAAAGTTAAACTTACCTTGTGTCGTTAGGAGCCTGAACCACGGTAAAACTCCGGTGAGGTCAATGACCTTACGCTCTCCCACGGTCACACGTTGATGACGTATTTGGAAATCAATTCGGGTGGGACATGACAACAGCGCCACCTGCAGGAAGATTTTCTCTCTGGTACCTTGTGTTCTGATACCTGACAAATTTTTTTTTGACAACTGACACCTGACAATTTTTTCTGACACCTGACAACTTTTTTCTGACACCTGACGATGTCCTAAAATGTACACTTATTTATCAAACCTCAACTTACCAGCGTTTTGAGAAAAATAGCCGTTCTTAACTTCAGCTGTGATCAACAACAATGAATACCAAACTGCAGAAACAAAAAAGCAATGTGTTAGATACTATTGACTTGAAAAATTACCCATACATGATACAGATGTATCAACATTCATTATATATACTGTATTTATACTTGGGAGAAAATAAATAAATGACAATGGAATAAAAAATATTTTAATTGAATCTCTTATAAATTAAATTTAACCAATGTATCTTAAAAGCAATTATTTTGTGTCACCATTCATTTCTGACTATCTACATTTATGTGACTTGGTGTTTTATGGCTTTTATAGAACTTTAGTATAAATCAGTTAGAAAACTTTCCTCAATAAAAAAAGATACAGTAAGTACTATTTTATAGAGTTGGTTAGACTTAAGAGTATAAACCTAAGGAAAACTCACCGAGTCTGATGCACAAAGATGTCACCTCCATGTTAGGGAGTTAACTTCCTCCTGACTGACTGAACATTAGACTGACTGTCATTTACAAATGTGTAGGTGGAGACCTTCCCTTTTCTGTGAGAAATGGCTGCGGCACTATGATCATTTCATATGCCTTATATATCTAATTATCTGTAAATAAGTAACAACACTTAAGGCAAAAAGCAGTGTGGTATATCCTGTAGAACATAATATACTACATTTTAAAAAAACACATGCTTATCATGTTAAGTTGAAGCACGCTTAGGATGCCATGTCATTGCGAAACATTCTCAATATAATATAATATAATAAAATAACAAAAATACACTGCTCATAACCTTTCCCTATGCACCAATGAACTGTTGTGATATTAACTACTTCAAAACTTGGGTAAGAAATCTGCTTTTGTATATTTGCTGTAATTTATTACCTGAATATTTTAAAAAGTAAAAAATCATTAAAAAAAATGTAATGAATAAAATTAAATCATTAAGAATACATTTTATGCCATCTAAATACATAACATACATCAAAGGATTATGTTTAAAATAATGATTAAGACTGGGCATTACATTTAACAGCATTGCAACATAGCTGAAAGACATTGTTTAACCATAACATTGTAATGTATCCTAAAGATACGAAAACTAGAAAACAAAGTGACAAAAGGTATAGACTCTTATAATCATGTATAGAATAGTCACGACTCTTTCATTAGTCAGATTTCCTTTTAGCGCCCATTGCCCAGAGTCAAAATTTTTTTAGCGCACTGTTGTAGCATTACGTCCTATTTTTTTATAGAGAGAGAAAAAGAAAAAAAGAGCAATAAAATGTCATATTTTATAAAATATCTTAGTCCTCCCTTTGTTTTGCAACAGCATTTTGGTTATGGTTTCTGTGGTTCATGTGCATGTTACGCCCCTCTGCAGCCCCTAATCTCTTTGCAGTGGTAGTGCAAGAGTGGTCAGCTGGTACTAATTCACCACACCTGGTCCGGTGTGGATATAGGCAGGCTTTCATAAAGGCTCACTAGTCTTAGTGTTACCAGCTATTTTAACTAACTTGCTATATGATTTAAAATAAAATCTCTTCTCTGTGAAATTCTGGTATTGGTCAACATATTTATCTTGCAGCTTTTGAGCCGAGTCATAACAGTGCATTGTTTAAATGTCCTATAAATGTCAAGCGGAGTTCTTGTCACAGTGTTTCTTGTTCAACTCAAACTGATGTGTACTAAAAGGGTAATATAGCAGTTCACACCACATCGAGTGTATGTAAACGTAACAACATGTCTGTTCACATATAAATAACAAGTCTATAAACCGAGACAGAGAATGGTTGGGTCACTTTTCTACCCTTAGAACATCTTGAAAACAGATGCTGTGGAATACATGAAGCCCATGCTTGAAAGCTAGTGAATGTAGGTGACAGGGACAGAGAATTTGAATCTTGAATGGACGGTAAATAAAGTTAATGCTTATGTTCAACAAAAGAAATCTCTAAAGAAAGCTGTTACAACACACGTTTTTGACATTTACCATACACAATTACTTTAAAGGCTGTCATCCTCAGCAAGAACCATATAATCAGAGACACAGGCTAACACACATTATCTGCATATTTCTAAGTTCAGATTTAAACCCGCTGGACTATGCTGAGTCTCTAAGATAAGCCTGCAGCAACCACCTAAGCTATACAAGCAGAAAATAAAGTTATTGTTAAATTAGCTGATGTATTATTTGTCATCCCAGGAGTACACTTCATGAAAGAAAAATCTATGAGATAAAAACAAATGAAAATAAAAGCAAAGAGTACACAGGCAGTCAAAGCACACATTACCCTTTTTCATGTTCAGCACAGCCAAATATTCTGTGTACAATGTTGACATAGGTGCAAACACAGTCAGAGAAACAACTGGTAAGTGTGTGATGGTACGTAAATATGGATCTATATATATTTTAATGGTAACTGTTAAAGTTCTGATTTGATCATTCAACTTCAAAACTAGCTCTCTTATTTTATACTACTCTGAGTTATTTTGTTTTTTTATTTATTATATAGGGGATAATATACTCTGTTTCTTCTGTTTCTTTTACTCAATTGCAGACTTTCACCGAGAGATGGTGCTTTCCTCAAAAAAACTTTGAGTAGGGTAGTTAACTATAGATTATTTTCTGTGTTATTGTAGGGTATTTTCTTTATAATATGAAGGTGTTCCTTTTCAGACCAGTAAGTCATAAACAAAAAAAATTTATAATTGTTTCGGCTGTTGCAGCTCAGTGATTGATTCACAGTGAAGTAAAGGATAAACATGCTCAGACTTGCTTGTTTCACAGTATCAAGAAAATCATGGGATGTCAGTAATGCTCATTTCTAGAGGCTGGTTGGTCTTGTAGACATTAGCACCATGATATAGCAGTAGTACACAGCAGTAAAGCATGGCCCAGTCAAAGCTGTCACTTATAGATGTGTTTTCTTAGGATCAGATTTGAATGCATTATATGCATCACCATATTTTTCAGACCATAAGGCACACCGGATTATAAGGCGCATTAAGTGAAACAAAACAGTCAGATTGTCACGGACCCGGTTCCGGGGACTCGGGGTTCGTGAACAGTGTGGACCTTTATTGTTATTTGTT